GCGCACTTAACCGTTAAGCCACGGAGCCGGCCCCATTTTCCACTCTTAACACTGAGTTGGTGGCTTGCAACATTATTGGCATATTGTTTCTGAATAAATTATACGTTTTAGCATGTAAATTCTCGATTTAGCATAGTGCCTTAATAGCCCAAGGATAGGTTGGAAAATCAAACCTTTATTTCTCTGGCAAATATTTACAAAGTGGAAACATCTGTTTCAATTGTTGTGGGACAATTTATGCTCATTGTGGGGCAGTTAGGAAGCCAGGGCATTTTTGTAAACCTTTCCATGAGTTATTTCATGCCTTCCCCCAGTTCTTCCCAAACTTTCTCCATGGCCCTTGCAGACCAGCCAGAAATTATTCTTTGACTTCCACCACTGCTTTGTGGAAACCTAGTTTGTAATTATCATGGCCCAAACATCATAAGAACTATTTGTTCATCAGATCTTTTCCAAAACTCAGAATTCACCCCTTTAAAAACGTTTGTCCTTGAAGCATATTACCAGTGTTGTTACAGCCTCAATAAACTATGTATGCTTATGGAAAATGAACTCTCTTTTTTCATGTAAAATCATCATGCCTTACTATTTCTAGGCTCAATTTATTTATTTATTTTGAGTAATCACATGATGAGGAAAAAAGCTAAAGGTCAGGATACTCATTTTCTTTTTCTTTTTAAACAGTTTTATTTATTTATTTATTTATTTATTTATTTATTTATTTATTTATTTGGAAGATCAGCCCTCCCTGAGCTAACATCCATGCTAATCCTCCTCTTTTTGCTGGGGAAGACCAGCTCTGAGCTAACATCTATTGCCAATCCTCCTCCTTCTTTTTCCCCCAAAGCCCCAGTAGATAGTTGTATGTCATAGTTGCACATCCTTCTAGTTGCTGTATGTGGGCCGCAGCCTCAGCATGGCCCGACAAGTGGTGCATCAGTGCGCGCCCAGGATCCGAACCTGGGCCGCCAGTAGCGGAGCCCACGCACTTAACCACTAAGCCACGGGGCAGGCCCAGGATACTCATTTTCATATCTCGCCAAAATCTTTCTTTGTCATTGAATTCTAGAAAATATCATAAAGATACTGGACTCAAATCCACCATTGGCCTTGTTGCCAGGATAAATAGAGCATTTGATTTTTCATTGTCTTTTGGTCGTGGCTCTTTTTCCAAATTCTAAATGAACTCTAGCAAAAGAAAACGGAATCACCCGGTGAAGGTGACATTGTTTAGGAAGGGGTAGGGCGGTCCTGAGAACCAGGAGGCATGTGATGGGTGCTATGAAGCAGGACATGTGCAGAGTCTAAGGGGAGCAGGCTCTTGGTCTCTGGGGAACTGAACATACTGAAGAAGATGAGACATTCCCATTAACTGGAGTACCCTGGAGACTGGTAATGAGCACTTCCTGTGTGAGGCTCGCTGTATTCCCAGTGCTTATATTGACATAGTCTGCTCAGAGAAATGTAAGCTTTGACATGAACTGTTTCTTTCGTGTCAGACCCACATGCCTATATGTGAGTGACCTCTTAGAAAAATATAAAGCATAATGTCTTTGCCCAAAACACACAGAAAAAGCCGTAAGCTTTTCCTATTCTTCTTTAAGACAGTACCCTTGAGACTTGCCTTTCTGTGTAACGTATATGTGCTGGAGAATGAAAGTGTGATAGAAAAGGAGGGGAAAGAAAAACATGGGAAGAGGTGGTGGGAGACATGTTTTAAAATAGGTATTAGTAATTTATTTTTTTACCTTAAAAAAATGGTGTGAGGGCCGGCCCCATGGCTTAGCAGTTGAGTGCGCGCGCTCCGCTGCTGGCGGCCCGGCTTCGGATCCCAGGCGTGCACGGACGCACCGCTTGTCGGGCCATGCTGAGGCAGCGTCCCACATATAGCAAGTAGAAGGATGTGCAACTGTGACATACAACTATCTACTGGGGCTTTGGGGAGAAGAAGGGGGGAAGAAAAAAGGAAGAGTGTTGGCAATAGATGTTAGCTCAGAGCCAGTCTTCCTCAGCAAAAAGAGGAGGATTGGCATGGATGTTAGCTCAGGGCTGACCTTCCTCACAAAAAAAAAAAAATGGTGTGGATTAATGTTTTTGTTTTTATTGAGATGTAGTTGGCACGTAATATTGTGTTAGTTAAGGTGTAGAAAGCGTTGGTTTGATATATTTACATATTGCAGTAGGATCGCTACAGCAGCATTAGCTAACACTTCTATTGTGTCACATATTTATCATTTCTTTTTTGTGTTGAGAACAGTTAAGATTTAGTCTCAACTTTGAAGTTTATAATACAGTATTTTTGACTATAATCTGATAAGTTTTTTGGGGACTAGTGAAGAGAAAGCAGACAGAGGTATTTTGAAGGTGTTATGGCTCTTTTTTCTTTTTTTTTTTTTCACCTAGAAGGGTAGAGTCCTGCCTAGCAAGTATGGATGAAAGAGATCTCTGAGGTCAAACTGATGACAGTTACATTAATTAATCGCTTGTGTAAAAAATGAGACAAACGGTGTAGAAATCAAGTATATTTTAGTTAATGTCCTTAGCTAGTTGATGTATCTCTTAGTACCCTCTAGTGGTGTCAGAGTAACATTTTCTTACATATGTTAGTGTCCTGCCAACAGGATCAACATTTTTAAGCTGCGTCTCTATATACTTCATCTATGATGTAATCAGCTCAGGATCCTCAAAGATGCCTCATAACTATAATTTCAACCTCATAGCTTCTATCTAAGATACTAGATTGGAAGGAAAGGCCATTATTCAATTTATTTCCTAAGACTAAGGAGTTATAATTCTTAACTATTTCTCCTATCTCAGAGCTGACTTAGGAAGAAACAATTTAAATATGTTGGCAAACTGTGCCACAGGGGTGCATAAATTTGAATTAAGTGTCACATATTTTTGAAGACTTTTGTTCACACATGTAAAAATTCCATTCTAAAGGTATGCCTGAAAAATGACAAATATTTGGTAATCAACAAATTAGTATGTGTGGGGGTGGGGCAGTGAGTACTGATCAAGCATTTCATGAAAACCCCTGATTTATAGCCTTTTACTTTGTCCTGAATTCTTGTCTCTGGTATACTGATTCATCTTCTGATTTTTCTTTTTGCAAATTTTGTCAATATGTGGTTTCTGTTTTAAGAAAATGGCAGAGAAGACTATAAAGGAAGGTCAGTAATTACAAGGAAAACCAGGAAATGTAAATACCAATAATTTTCAAAGAAGGCATCTATCTAGAACGTGGAATAGATGGTTAGAGGTGTGCATTTCATACTATTCTACCTATAAAGAATTCTTATAAACAGAGAAGAGAATTCTTACCTGAGAGTCTAGGAGTATAACCTTGAAGATTACCTTTTACCTTCAGATTTTTGTGGCACATAGAAATGATTTTTTAAGGAAGACTTTTCTGATTATAAAAGTAATTATACATGCTCATTGTAGAAATTTTTAAAAATATAGAAAAATATAAAAAAGGAAAATACAAATCTCCATAATCATAACACTTGGGTTTATTTCCTTCTAAATCTTCTTTTCTGTGTAGTTTATAATTTAGATCATATTTTATATTAAATTTTGTATTCAACTATATTTAACAAATAATTTTCTTATGTTAATGATTATATAATAATCTATGCTATGTGTGTATTATTCATTTTTTTGTGTTATTATTGACAGTCACTTAATTTAAGCAATCATGTTAGTCACCCATGTTTTTAGCCTTTTGATTTATTTTTCTATAATTTTATATTATACTCACTATAAACAAATCTATTTTTTCTGTAGTGAATTAGCATAAATAGGCTCACTAAAGATATAATTTGTAAATGTGTGTTTTTCTCATACATCCAAGTGATGTATAAAATACTGCAGCTCTGTATTCATATGCTTCATTTTCAAGTCTAGCAACTTTTTGGATGACTTGCATCAGTTGTCTTAAAGTCACAGCACAGTGTATAACACTTGATGAAAAATGAAGAATGCGGGTTGCGTTTTGGAGAGCAACCCCAAGGCCAATTTAGGTCATTTCCGTAGTGAATCTTTGTTAAAGCACTGTTTTCCCCATCCTCCTTCTGCAGAATGCATAGCGGGTTATGGGCGACAGTAGCATGCCTGTTTTTCTTCTCCTTCAAACCCCAGACCGCTTTAACAAGGCTGTGCCTTAGCTTATCATGCTCCAGGCCCTGTCTTCTTACACTGGGCCACTTGGACTCATCCATGGCAGCATCTGTTTTAAGCTTTGTTTACTATGTGATGACCAAGAGATAATAGCCCAAGGTAGTATTGTTATAAATGTGCTGTTTCTTTGGAGCAACAATAAGATCAACGGTAATAATGATGATAACAATGGCTAACTTTTACTGAACACGTGTCGTATATGAGGCATTGGGCTACATGCATTATTTAAGTTATTTCCTTTGAATCTGACACTCTGACATTGGTACTCTGATTATTCCCATTTCACACATGCAGAAAAGTGAGGTGTGGAATGTTTGAGTAACTTGCCCATGTTACAGAGCTAAGAAAGGGCAGCAAGATTTGTACCTCTACTGTCTCCAAGCCTGGGCTTTCAACCACCAGCTGCACTGCTCCACCCCCACTATACCATTATACCTCCTTACAAAGGACATTGAAAATAGCCTATCTTAGGGGAGTAATTCCTCTTAGAAGGCAACCTTTGAGTCCTCAAGTCCTGTTGGTAATTGAAGCTCATTTTGATGGCCTTTACCCACCTAGGACTCCTATGACCTTGCCTCTATCACAGTGTGTGTCTATGAGTGGAGTGAGGACTCAGGGTTAATCTGCTCAGGCTTTATAGAAGGAGCAATTCTCAAGCAGGAATCAGTAGGAGAGTAAGGGAGAAATTTAGCAGAGAAGATTTGGAACATTTTACTTTACCAGTATAAATAAAATATGCTCAGGTTGAAATTGGCAAATTAAGAGTAAGTTACACTCAAAACTTTTGCTTTGATTAGAAGTGGTAGATCTTTCTTTAGAATTAATGAGAAATTTTGGGAGGAGATTGGATGTAATTGTTGGAACTTGAATTTGGCCTGCTAATGAATAGAAAGTTACCATGTATTTCTTATCAGGAGAAATCACATTATGATTCAAGTCCATCATCTAAGATGAACTGGAGTGGACAGAAACTCATTGATAGGCCATCTTGGAGGTTAAGAAGAGTTGATTGTCTTAGAACTTCTAACGTGGCCTCTTCCTGAGTTTCCACCCACTCCAGTTCATCTAAGAAGTTGTTTCATTAGGAATTATTGATGACCTTGGGTGGGACTAACTGATCAATTGTCAAGTAATCAAATGAATTGATACTTGTTTTTAAAAGTCACCTTCTGTCTTCTAATTGCATACCAGGCAATAAGCTAATCAGGAATGGTTTGTAAGTAGCAATCAAATCATTATTTATATCTTTTTTTCTTCCACAATTTTTATTTATTTTTAAAGAAATAAATGAATGTACTGTGAACCCTGATATCTGTGGAGCAGGACACTGCATTAACCTGCCTGTGAGGTATACCTGTATATGCTACGAAGGCTACAAGTTCAGTGAGCAACAGAGGAAATGTGTTGGTAAGAGACAGTTTTGATAGATAAAATGAATAATTATAAAATATTTGTACATGTAGGACATTTTTTCTTTAACTATCATGGGAAAATGTTATTGTATTTAACTTTAAAAAAATTTTTATCCTTGAGCTAAGGGAGTTCAAAAAAGAGGTTTGCTAAGTTCTTGAGATGCTCTTATCTTTTAGTTCAATGGCTACCCACCTTACCAAGTATAATACAGTTACATGAAGGTGAAAAAAGTTTGTAGGTGTAATAAATAATTAAGAGCTCTAGAAATAGCTACTACAAACATATATTTAGCAAAGCCAAGTTAATATTAATGTATACTGCAATAAAGAATTATATTCATCTAAGTACATAAAATCTGATTTCTAAAAGGTATTTCTAAATGGAAAATCAGTATATGCTGACACAAAGCAATTAATGAATTTATAAATAAGAGATCTCACATATGGTTCTTTGGAAAAAATGTATCTCGGAAAGAGGTGTAATGGTGCTAATAAGTAAATCATTTTTATGTGTTAACACTAAATTGAATTTCTCTTTTTTTAGAAAAAGAAAATTCAGCACTAAGAGTTATAAGGCGAAGATAAAGCAACAAAGACATATGCCTAATTAATACTCCCCAGGCCAGCTCAGCAGGGAGCGTCAGAAATGTCACGAAAAGGACCGTTCCACTGAGCGCATGGGTGGAGCTAGAGTAGATCATCTCGATTGCCATTGTGCAACATGTGTGCATTTTGCAGTTTGGTTTTATGTATGTCAATGTAAGGGGTAAGGGAGCATTCACCTGCTCCATAACATGGCTATTTCTCTTTCATTTGCATACATTGCATGTATGATGTTTAGAACCCTAAAATACAAAATTGAAAAGGGCAGTCGACATGATCTAGTCTGACTCCACCCGTGTACACAGTGGAAGAGTCCCTTTCACGACATTTCAGATGGTCCCTGCTGAGCTGGCCTGGGAGTTGCAGAGCGAATTCCAGTGCTTAGATGATTCCAGTTATCAGGCGGGTCCTTCTGTGTTGACCTGAAATCTGTCTTTTTGAAACACCAATGTCATGGTTGTAGTTTTAGCTTTTGAAGCAATTCACCATAAGTGTAGTCCCTCTTCCCAGTAACAGCCCTTCACGTATTTGAGAACGGTCATGTCTCCTTGTACTATTTTCTTCAGTTATCGAGGTTGGTAGGACACAGGGAATAGCATGCTGGTATTTTAATGGAAGAGGGAGACTGAGAATTTCATGCTACCCTATATAATAATCCTTTTATCTATGTTTTTGTTAACAGATATTGATGAATGCACTCAGGCCCAAAACCTCTGCTCCCAGGGACGCTGTGAAAACACCGAGGGAAGTTTCTTGTGTATTTGCCCGGCAGGATTTATGGCCAGTGAGGAGGGTACTAACTGCATAGGTAATGGCAGTGTTCTTCCTAATGCATAAATTCTCAGATCTGGGTTTTTAGCTCCCCTAAGATTCATCAGTCCGGCGCTTATTCAGGCAACTCCGAATTTTTTATTAAACACCTGTTATGATGTAGTAACCTGCTAGATACTGAAATATAACAATGGATTTTATTTTCCCATCAACACTTTTGAATGAAGTGTCAAATGTATGCAAAGACAAGAGGCGTTAAATGTTTCTTTTGGACCCTACATAAATCAAAACGACTCAATTTTGAAACATGTGAAACAAATCAGTTTCTTCATTATTAAGTTCAAACTAACCTGGGAGATGGGAGAGGTTTGAAATTACATTTTGGGAAATAAAACTCGACAATGTTTTCTGTTTTGCGTAGATGTTGACGAGTGCCTGAGGCCAGATGTATGCGGGGAAGGGCACTGTGTCAATACCGTGGGGGCCTTCCGGTGCGAATACTGCGATAGCGGCTACCGCATGACCCCGGGAGGCCAATGCGAGGGTGAGTCTGCTAGAGAACGGGGAGCCTGCCACCTCTAAGTGCAGAATGCATGTGACCATGAAATTCAGGGCTGGGTCCAGAACCCCAGGCTGCTAGGCACCTAGCCTGGTACTTACTTTCCTCTACCAATCTGTGCGTGACACCAGCTCATCCAAGCTCTTCCTGCCTGCTGGATTCACAGCCTCTTTGCCTCACTTCAGTGGCTCTGTCTGGATTATCTTCCTGCTGTCTCTATTACTCACTTCAGTATCTGCCTTCTCTGGTATTTGGAGTGAAATCACTTTAGAATAATTAATTGCAAAGTTAGTACAAACCCAGACTTAATTACAGTGTCTGGATCATTCATTTGGGGACATGATGCAGGTGTAACCAGTGTTGACTGCTAGTTTTCAAGCTTTTCAGTTTGTTACATTCCTTTGTCTCAACTTCTTTCTTTTACATGTGTTCTGGGACTTGCTTGCAGACTCTCTACAGAAGCACTGTCTGACCAACTCCGGGTCAAATTCCAACTGTGCTAGATAAAATTTCTTTATTATTGACCTCAGCAATGAATTTGTTCTCGTTATAAAAATGTTTTGAAAACTTTTTATAGCATGGCCAAAATGATTAACCATTTCATATTTCTGCTTGTGTTTGTTTCCAAGTTCCACAGGTTCTTTTGAAACCACTGTGGTACTTTTTTAATAATCATTTTCATGAACAAATACATTGAACTTCTGCTTAAATCCTGCCATGGAAACATCAGGGCGAAGGAGCAGGGGTCTCTGGGCAAGTTTTTGAGGAAGCTGGAAATGGGGTTGGTGCTCGTTCCATGAGGGTTCCCTGCCTGGCTGCCTGAGAATCAGTCTCTTTTCTAATGTGACTGGGCTTTGAGAGCTAGGGAGGGATAGCCCAGTTGGGGCAGGCTGCTCTCAGCTGTCCCTTGGCTTCCGCATGTTGGTTTTTTCCTCAGTTCTGATGACCCAGGCCTGGAGGGAGAGCTAATAAGACTTCTTTTGGCAGCCTGCACCTGCCTCTCCTGCTAGTGTCTTGCTTTGGCCCCTTGGGTTCTAATCTAGAGAGAAGTGGGAGCATTTTATGTTACTGGATCTCTGATCAACTCAGATCAGAACAGAGCTATGAACTCTCCCCCGACAGCTGAGGGCCATGAGACAGCACAGGTGTGAAGAGCCTCCACCGGGAACTCGCTAAGAGAGCAGTGACTATGGCATCAGCTCACGACCCCCCACGCTTAGTAACTCTCTGACTTGGAGCCAGTTACTTAGCCCTTTTGAAACTTAGTTTCATCTGTAAAATGGGAACCGTGAAGTTAACTTTTAGGATTGTCCTCAAAATACACGCAAGTTGCAGTATCTTGTATGGTGCCTGTCACCTTGTCAGTTTGCAAGAACTATTAGTTGCTTTAAACCTCTCCCTTCCCTGACTCTTTTTGTTTTTGTATAGAACTTCTCAGTACATCTATAGTTGTGGGACTGTTTTAAAAAAAAGGGTGTGGGTTTATCTGACAAGTATTTATGTGCAAAGCAACACTCCCAAAAGAGGTCAAATACTGATCTTAAATTCTACATACACTCTCAGGACGAGACAATAAGATATTTAAGTACTAACTATAGCATAAGAATGGAAAGTGGAGAGAAGTTTGAAAATTATGTAAGTGGAAAGCAGTTAGACTATTCAGTAATATTCCATATATGGAAATTATTTAACAGAAATATTACCAGAGTTCCCTGAGTAAATAATACATAATTTTATCCCCTTGAAAAGAAGGAGCCAAATAACGTGGCTATTTTCTAATTTCGTCATGGACCAGAACCAGAGGTCCCCAGGCTTCTGGCTCACTGAAGATTTTCTCAGCTGTCACTAACCAAGTTGCTTTCAAACAGCACCAGTCTCCAAGGAGTCTATTATAGTTTATAGACATTATCTCATGTGTCCTTACTTTATTCTGTTAAGGTATTGCCAGGCAGGTAGTCCCTAATTTATAGAAGAGGGAACAGAGGAGAGAGCAGCAGGATATTCAGGGATGTTATCTGGTGTTGCTCGGCATTGTACCTTGGACCAGCCTATCTCTGTGACCTTCTCTGACTTAGCGGTTGTAGTTCTACGAAAAAAAAAGAACAAAAAAAATTCCCATCCAGAGAAGAAAGTAATGCTGTTTGGAAAATGAAACTGGCAAGCATCATCTTTTTGTAGAACAAGAAGTCCCAGAACATCTGACCTAAAAAAAACCACTGTGTGTCATTGTCTATTGGCAAGGATATTTTGGTGATAGGAAAAAAAATTACAACACTGACTTGGTGCTTATTCTATTAATATCATCTTCAACTTTTTTACTTTAAGCATCTTTTCCCATGCTTAGTGATATATAATGGGAGATAATTTTTGTGAATTTGCCAGAATGAAGACCTCAAATACCCATGTATGTTTAGTGTATCCATTATCTATTTCTTTCACCTTTCAGCTTATGTTGTGAAAAATCTGTTTAAGTATGATTAGAGGTCCTTTATACATTTTATTCTGGGACACTTAAACGTTAAATCCACTCACTTGAATTCAAAAATCCAACTCCAGAAAAACATTTATTTCAAGTGGGGCTAGTACCCAAGGTATTACTACTCCTTTTAAACTGTTGAACCATCTCCTATATTCTCCTTTTTCCCCATTTTATTATTTTACCGTTCTTAAAAGTGACTAAAGCTATTGCAGTAATCTCTGCCACAGTCCCAACCATATTTAAGATGTTGTTTTCTCCTTACATCAAAAAGAGCAATGATTAATAACTTCAGTTAGCTGTGACTGTGAAAAGTAAGGTGTATTTTTTACTAGAAAATAGTACCATATGATCATAGCCACCATGTTTTCTGGATAATCTTGGAAGTATGTGGTGAGTTCATTCTCTCCTAATGTTCTTTTTCCATCTCCAAGAAATTCCTATCATGTGAAAAGTTTTAAATTATTCAAACCCAGGATGTTCTTAGGCCCATGAAGCCAAAGCGAGGATTTCCCTAGAGCATTCAGGGTCTGCAGAGAGAACCTCTGGCCAGGTGGATATATGGCTTCCTTACTTGCATCCTCATTTCTTGTATTTCTTTCTGGCACACTGCAGTATTACTTGAAAGATTTGTTCAGAAAGTGGCCCCGAAGGAGATGCCAGCTCCAAGAGTGGAGAGATCTGGGTCTTCCAGTTGGAGAATTGGGGCCATGTTTTTCCTTTGAACATGTGTAAATATTTTAATTGAGGTGTGCCTGGCCATGCATCGTCTCTGTGTGTTTAAGTGTAGACTCAGTGTTGCACTTATCCAGTTAGTGTTTTCCCCACCAATGTGTAGTTTATAACACGCCTTTTTCTTCCCCCTTCATCATAAAGTAAATTTTTGCTTTAGTATTCTGATAAAATGTTTGTGACCTAGCTTTTTGATTTTTCAGATATTGATGAATGTTTGACTCCAAGTACCTGTCCAGATGAGCAATGCGTAAATTCTCCTGGATCTTACCAGTGTGTTCCCTGCACAGAGGGGTTCCGAGGCTGGAATGGGCAGTGTCTTGGTAGGTACTAGGGTGTTCTCATGGTAGTTTTGTTTTTTCTGTCTGGCCCGTTTTCTGACAGTGGTGTAATGCCAAGTGAGCCATCTTTCAAAATGAAAAGAAAAAAAAAAAAATTAAGTGTAACAAACTTACCTCGTTCTGAGAAAACTTCCAAGGAAAGTTCTAAGTAGCTTTTAACTATGGAGAAAATGAGTTGGCATGAAGAATGTGGGATTTTACATGGGACAGATAAGTCTAATTGAAATAAATTGTTATCCCTGATGTGACAAATTACCCAAACCAAGTAAAATGATAAGCACCACAGGGAGGAGAGAAGTGGAAAGCAAAATGCCCAGAACGAGAGAAAATGCCCGAAAAGAGAGAAAAGGCCAAAGAAGCAGCTACCACAGACTAATTGAATTAGGAAGCATGCAAACACCAACGTGCAGCAGAAGTAGCAAAGGTAGAAAAAGAAATCTTGACTGATTGCCCAGGCCCCTTATGTCCCTTCATATATTCGATTAAGTATTTAATACTTAGGACCTGCATTAGGCACTGAGGAAGGGAAGTGATAAATCTGTTTTGGTTCTAATTACCTGTGCTCTAGTTAGCTTGCCCCTTTTAGTGGTTTTCCTTTGTGTTTCTGTCTGCCATGTGATCTTTTTCTTAAAAGTTGAACTCTCTTCCACTCCATGCGATTTAACTTTTCATTCGTTCATTCCTTCTTTCCTTCCTTCCACAAGTGCTGAAGAACTTACTATGTGGACCCAGGATTGTACTGAGTGCTGGCATATGTTGATGGACAAAAAAATAAAAGTGCCTTCCTCGTGGATCTTATTATCTTGTGGGGAGACCGATACTCACCCAGACATTTCATCAGTAAATGCAAATGCACCAGTGAGACAAGTGCTAGGAAGGAGGGTTCTGTGATGCTACAAGGGCACATGATAGAACGAGTTGCCTGTAGGGAAATTCTTGAGTTGAGGTTTGACTGGGGATTTAACTGGAGAAGGGGAGGGGAGAGAGATCGTTTTGAATAGAGGAAACAGCGTGTGCAGAGGGCTTATGGAATGAGGAAGAAGCAGGTCATGTTCCAGAAGCTGAAAGGCTAGTGTAGCTGAAGGACAGAGAACAAGGGGAGATCTGCAGCAAGATGAGGGGGCAGCCCATACCAGACCCTCTCCGTCCTGTTAAAAATGTTGGTTGTTATCCTTATGTTTCTGGGAAGACATTTAGGTGTTTTAGAGGGAGTGGGATAAGTAGGCTTGGCAGAAACACTCCCGGTTTCAAAGCTTTGGACTCATCACCAGGCAGTATGAGCTGAGTTTCTGTACCTAGTGCACGTGGTCCCTTGCCCTGAACCTCGTGCCCATCCCCCAGAGTCTCTATCAATGGAATTGTGAGATGTTGATCTTTGGAGAGAAGAAAAGATTTTCGTTCATTTGTTTCTTATTAGATAAACGTTTATTTATGTAATCAGTGCTGGTCAGAAAGTACATTTGGTTTTAATTTTCCCATTTGGCATAAATTTCATAGTTGCCTATCAAGGTTCCATTCATGCTTTCGTTATCACATAGTGATGCATATTATAATCCAAGAGCAGAGCCTGAACTTTACCTTAAATGACTAAAATTCACAAGAGAAGAGTAGTATAAACACAGCCCTGATTCATGAATTTACTGATGGAAGGTGACTGACCAAATTGGGCAGGTGATTGCTCTTCAATATAAATGCATTTATTTGGATTGGGCAATAATAATAAGTGAGTTCTTATACCTAGATGTATGCAATCAATCTAATTGTGACCACTTTGCTCCAATTTAGTGACAGAAAAACAGCACCTAATTTAAAAGTAATTTCACTTTGCCAACCAGATTAGCAGAATCATAAGCAGAGATGTTAGGTCACTGTGTTAGTCAACCAAAGTCACACACTTAGCAGTGTAAAAACGAAAGCTACTGCTTGGAACAAGTGGCGGGGGTCATGCATTTCCTCTTAAAAGTAAGAAGTGTACTTTTTTCTTCTGCATTGGGTGAAATTTTAGGCTTTATGTAATCTGGAGGTGAAGCTTCTCCTCTGTGATACGATTGCAATTCTGTCTATTGCTCATGTTGGCCTTCCAGCTCTTCTAAATTTCTCATGAGGGCCTTTGCAGATTATACCAAAATGGATTTTCCATCTCATTTTTTTTTTTTATGATAGTAGAGCTTTCAAATGTTGAAAAGTTGAGTGTGACAAAAAGCAGATATTGTAACATGCCTTTCTGCTCATGTGGAGCCAATAAGTGCACTGGATTTTCCTGGTAAACTCTGGTAGTGCTAATGAATACCCAGCCATATTTTTTGTTGTTGTGTTCCTTTTTACATTTTAGTTCTCACCTTTGTACTTCTGATACCCGAAAATATTTTTCAGAAGGTGCAGTCCTTACTTAAGCTTATCTTTGAGTTGAGCTCATTGATAACACAACTTGATATATATTTATTTGTTTGTTTAACAGTTGAGTGCCTGCTAGGAGCCAGGCATTTTTCTAGACCCTGGGGATTGAGAGTGAACAAAATAAATTCCCTCCCCACATTGCACTTATACTCTAGAGCTCGCATTGTGCTTACAAATAAGTAAAGTATATGGTATGTCAGAAGTGATGAGTGCCAGGAAGAAAAAAGCACCCAGAGATAGGGAGTGTTAGAGATTCTATGGTGGACAGAGAAGGCATCAAATGATAAATTACAAGATGTTCCTTGCTAACCATTTTTTTTGGTCACTAATCTGTGACTAGTTTGTGGCTTTTTGTATCCTTTTATCCAGATAATTTAGGATACATTGATGAAACCTTTTTCTCCAATTTTTAATGTATGAGAACATTAAAGACTTAAAATTTCCCCAAATCTCACCATTTGGAGACAAGTCCTACACTTAGCATTTGTTAGTTATCATGTTAGAGATGATAATCCCTACCCCACTATTCTATTCTATTCCATAAATCTTAGTATCCTTCTTTTTCTACCACTCTCCTCTCACTGACTGCATATTTTTAAAATTATTATAATTAAAGTTGTACAGTGTTTTACATAATACTACTTTCATTTGTTGTCATTATACTTATGGGTTTTTTTTTTAAAACTTGTCTACCTTCCTGTCAATTTGGCTCTTTTTTTCTATTAAATGGTTTCATTAAGAAGTAAGAAGTGCTATTTTCACCCTTATACCGCAGAGATTTGATGCCAGTTACACTTTCTGCTTCTTTCACTGACTAAATGGTGAACTTGCTGAAACTGTTAATGGCATCTTTGTATTCATGCCATGTTAGCTGGATCTTACTGATTGATGCTTCTCCTTGATTTATGAATTAGAACTGAAATTATTTTGCACAGAAACAGGTAAAACGTTAGCAGGTGTTGTCTGGGGGACCACACTGTTTCCTAGTGTTTAGTTCAGAGTGTACGATCCTTCATTCTCAACAGTTTATTCCACTTTCAAAATATCTATCCCTTAATGCATTTTGGCAACTCTTGTTGGCTCCTCTGTTAATGTAGCTGCTTCTCTCAAGTTGTGGATTTCAGTCCTCTCTTGAGAGCCCCTTTCATCATTCAACACTGTATTCCTTGGACCTCACATTCAGCCTGGGGGTGATGCCCGCTCCATCCCCGCCTCTAGTGACTCTTTCATCACCCCGAGTTCTGGCTGGTTCCAACTGGCTGCTTTAACCTGAATCTTTCTTTAGGGAAGCCAGCCTGTCAGGTACTCAATTTACAGGTTTCTCTTGACTCAAGAAGAGTTAGCCTGATTCAAACCCGACCAGAGCCGTCCCCCAAAGGAAATTCTCTAATATTTAATTGTTTAAAGGTACATTCAGTAACTTGGATATAAAGATCATATTTCCCTGAATTAAGATTTCGGGCTATGTGACCTCTCTGAAGCTTAGTTTCAATATCTGTAAAATGAGGATTGAAATACTTTCTTCATTGGGTTTATTGTCAGAGTTTAAATAAGTGATATAAAGCACCTAGTAAGGTGTCTGACCCAAGGTAGGACCCAAGAAATGTTATAACCCTTCTTCCACCAACACTATTACCCTCCCCTTTAGCTCCTTTGTCCTGAAATAGAAGAAATGCAATAACTGATACCTGTTAAAGTAAATTATATATCTAAGTTCTATGTATAACTGTCTTCTCTTTGGCTTTCTTGAAGCTCATCTCATATAGTTTTTAACTCTCCCTATGTCATAGGACCTTTCTCTTATGAATTTAAGTAATCTTAATCTTACCATATCCTTTCAACGTCTGAGCATTCTTGTTTTAGCTGGAATATACTTCTTGAGAATCATAATGCTTCTTTGTAGGGTCATTGATCATTCCTAACTAATGTTTCAGCCTCTGCAATACTGCTGGTTCCATTCTTTCACTTCATTTTCTTTGCTCTCCTTCGTAAGACACAGTATCTATCCCCTAGTGGATGTCTGCAGAGATCCCTTTTTTAGTTTACTTTATTGTCTTGCTGTATAGTTGAGTCTGTGGCAGACCATGTGACCCGGGAACACAAGTTTCTGAGATTTTTATCAGAGTAATCTTTCTCTGTCAGCCTGTAATTAAGTTAATGATGACTTTGTGACTCCCATTTAAGTTTTCTAAATGTAATAGGTCTTAGGCATTTGAAGAACTTAGTATCATTCAATCCACTTGACAACTGGTTAGCCACAGTCTTAACCGAAACCAGGCGCAGAGGACTTATAGGATAAACACGGAGAGCTCATTGTTCTAGGAGTTCTTTTGACACTAGGATTTATTTTCAGATTTTAAGATTCATTGTTAACCTTTATGAAATATACAAATATTCATAGACATCTGAAATTGAAGACTTTCATCTTATGTTTATTTTTTTATGTAAGATGGCAACTGAGCTCAGCATCTACCTTTTGCAGATATTATAAAATGTGCAAACATCAGCCTTGTCCCTAAATCATTATATGCTAAAGGAGTCTTCTAGTCAGTCACTAAGTTATTATTGAGCATCTAACTCTAGAT